AGAGAGAGAGAGAGAGAGAGAGAGAGAGAGAGAGAGAGAGAGAGAGATTTAATCAGTCCGGTGGAAAGTTTGCAGACATGCTCTCCTTTGGGATGAGCTAACAAAGCACCTGGCAGTGGAGCACTAGATTTGGAGTGAGGAGATACAGGTTCAAACCCCAGTTTTGTCATCAATCTTGGGATTTTATTCCATCTAACTAGCGTAAGGACATATTTTGATGAAAGATTCTTCTTACTTCCACCTTCTAGAGAAAACCGTAGCTGGAAATGTGAATGTTCTTGTCTTTTCGCTAATAGTAGCGGTGGAAAAGAGAACCCAAGTCAAGCTGACCAGGCTTGGTGCTACATTAAATTTCTTTCTTTTCTTTCTTTCTCCTTTTTTTTTTCTGAGAAATCTCCTACTGACCTTTCCTAGCAGGAGGGTTAAATGACCTAATCCAATTTGCGCCTCTGGGAATCACTCCATAGACTCTCCAGCTGCGGCCACTCTCTAAGAGAAACAGAAAGGATCTCCGACATGATGAGGATGGCCAGTCATTTTCCCTCCAAAAGCTTCATTTTGCCCATCTATAAAATGGGAATGTTTGAGGGATAGGCGGTCTAAAGAAGTGCACATGAAATGATTTTGAGATACTTGGATCAATTTGATTCAATCCACATTTTTATCAACATTATTGTATCAAAACAGCAGACTGTTCTGCATTTCTGGGTTAACGTCAAATAAAATAACCTTGGGGCTAGGACTCGGGCCCATTTGTTGGTGGACTTGGGAGGAAGAGACTAGAAGGTGAAAGCTTGAGCAGCAGGAAGACAGAGATCAGAGAGCTTTTTTTAAGCCAAAGATACTTAATTGATACCATCTAGCAAACATGTGTTAAGCACCCACTATGTGTGAGACACTGTTCCAGGCAGGGGGAAATTTGAAAACAGAAGTGGCAAAGAAGCTTATATTCTGGAGGGAATGGAAGATACAAAGTACACATTGATAAGTAAACATGAAGTAATTTGAGACGAGAGAGAGAGAGAGAGAGAGAGAGAGAGAGAGAGAGAGAGAGAGAGAGCGAGAGCGAGAGAGAGCGCAAATAAGCAGGAAAATCGGCTTGTGAACTGAATCCCGAAGGGAGTTAGTGATTCCAAGACAGGGCGGCCAGGGAGGGAGAGCATTCCAGGAATAGGGGTCACAGCCTATGCAAGGTCACAGAGTCAGGAGATGAAACGCTAAGTCTAAGGAACAGAAAAGAGGACAGATTGGCTGAAATGTACAGTTTGGTCCTGATTAGCGCGCATGATGAATTCCTGAAGTGGTCCTATGAATTTGAATTTGCTCTATTGGAAGTTACAATTATGCAGGTTTGACTCCAGCCCTGTGGAAACATGCAATGTGAATTCAAATAAGCAGCCAGCTGCCAGGGATTCCCTTACTGGTGTTGACGCTAATCAGGGCCTAGCTGTAGAGCAGCTACTGGGCAGTGATACTACTCAGAGCATTTGTCTGGGACTTCTTGTGCCCAAGGGTTTATAGTCTGGAAACTGAGGCTGGAGCCAAATGGTGAAAGGTTTTTAAGTGGCAGGCCAACAGGCTTCTATTTTTTCCTAGAGGTCATAGGGTGCCATTGAAGATTTAGGAGCAAAAGGAAAAAATGTGTATGATCATAGAACAACTCAACAGATCTGCTAAATATCTGACTTCCAAAATTACTAACTGCGACTCACGTTACTTCCATAATTACTAATAATTGTAAGTAAGCATCTTTCCTCTATCTGCCCCTCCCACACACATTTTTTTCCTCACCTGTGCTATGCCTCCCAATACTTATTTAAATGTTTTCTTTGTTTTCTGGGTTTTCATTGTTGTTGTTTAATATAGATGTCTTGCACTTTGCTGATGGCTTGCTGATTTTGAAAGCCCTCCCTATCCATTGTCTAATTTGATCCTCACACTAACCCTATGAGGTAGGCAAGGTAGGTGTAATTATCCCCATTTTAAAGGTGAGGAAACTGAGGTTCAGAGAACGCGACTTACTTGACCCACATTGCATGGTTATTTAGTGGCCTAGCCAGGTCTTGGTCTCCTGACTATAGGGTACTCCGTGACGACACCCTATGCCTAAATGCCATCTGTTCCTTGGTTCTACGTGTCCTGACAAGAAGTTTTTGAATCAGGTGGGCAAAGCAAACCCATTTTGTGGATGAGGACTTTGAGGCTCAGAGATATGTATGTTAGAGGTCACTTTATTTGATATTTAATGATGAAAGGGAGATCAGAACCTAGGTGTGTTACCTCCAAAACCAGGACTCTGTTTATCACACTACATCTAAGTGTGTTAAAAGTATTTGAAACTCTTCTTTCATGGGGTGGGAGGAGTAGGCACCAGAACACACCTCAGTCCTAGGAGAAGACAAAAGCTTCCATCACAGCCTGGATGGACACTAACAGAGCAGACAAGTAATGGGTGTTTATGGAATTGAACTGCATCTCAACACCAGCTCCTATCTGCAAACATTTATTAAGCACCTACCTTGTACAAAGCCTTATGCCAGGTGGTCTGTGATGCCCCCAGATGGACAGTGAATTGAATGAGGGTCTGGTCACCCTGAAAGCCAAGCTAAAGATTGTCATGTATGGATTCAGTGGAGAGTGGATGATAGCAACCTCTAAGAGCTATGGTGAGCATTATATAGAGTTATTCTTATTAATAATGCTACCTCATTTCTTTCTTATGACAACCTAGTGAAGTTGGCTAAGCAGGTGTTATCCATTTTACAGATGACAAAACTGTGGCCAAATGATTTAGAAAGTAGAGTGAAAAGAACATTGGATCTGAAGTCAGAGGATGTGGGTTTGATTAATGACTTTGACACTGAAACATCTGTGTGACCTTGGACGAGTCACTTAACTTCAGATTTTTCATATGTAAAATGAGGAAGCTGGAATAAATGATCTCTGATGTGCTTTCCAGCTTGAGACCCATAAATATGGTCCAGGACACATGCAAAGCACTCCAGTATCTTTACCGAGAAAACCCCCCAAAATGGGGTCACAAAACAGCAAAGCATTGTAAAGATTGCCCACCTACTGCTAATAAATATTTTGTTTTATGGATTTTAAGTTGGAAGGGACCCCAGAGGTCATATACTCTAACCTTGTCTTCTTATGAACAAGGGAAGTAAGGCCAGAGAGATTAAACGCTTTGACTAAAGGGCACAAACATAGTGAGCTCAGTCAGCCAGTCAATGAACATTTTTAAAAAGCCTACTATATGTAATTCAACTGTGTTAATCACTAGGGATGTTAAAAAAAAAAGGCAAAAATTACAAAACCTGCCCTCAGGGAGCTTACAGTCTAATGAGAAAGACATCTTAGACACAACTATGTATATACTAGATGTGTACAGTATACTTGGAGGTACTATCAGAGGAAAGGCATCAGCAGTGGTGGGCCCTGAGAATGGCATCCGGCAAGAGGTAGGATTTAAGCTGAGCCCTGAAAGAAGCTGTTATCCCAAAAGCTCAAAGTACAGTCACACATTGAGAACAAGTCCCAGATGGGTTGATATGTTCTCTCTCCTTTCTTGTTCTCTCTAGGGACCTCCAGAGTCCCAGTTATCACACAGAGCCCAGAAACCCTCCTGGTTCAGACTGACAAAGAGGCAAAGCTCTTCTGTGACATCAGATCATCCACAAACACTTATGGAATCTACTGGTTTCGTCAGGTCATGCCTCCCAGCGTTGACAATCGCTATCAGTTTCTGGTCCATTCAGAAAAGACCACTTTCACTCATGGGGAGGGCATCAATTCAGAACATGTCCTTGTGTCTGGAGAGGCATCCAAATCCACGCTCAGGCTTCGGGATGTGAAGCCTTCGGATGGTGGCGTCTACATCTGTGCCATTATCGTAGGTCCTCAACTGGTCTTTGGAAGTGGCACCCAGCTAAATGTGGGTAAGGGCTCTATTGATCTCGTGGAAGCACCTGGGGGGGAGGGGGGAGGGGTATCACTGCACCTGATGGGGAGAGAGAGGGGATATACCCCATGGCCGTCAGAACTGGGTCTTCATGTCTCCTCAACATCAGCCTTCACCCATGGGGCTGCAGTCAGAAAAGCTTTCCACCGAGAGCAGTGGGCCCAAGTGGGACATTCAGAGGGATCTCCCTTCCCGTTCTTTCGAGGTGTTTCCTGTGGCCCATTTAGAAGAAGTTAGAGGCTCTGATAAAGAGTTTTTTGTTTTGTTTAGTCAGAGGACCCTGGTTCAAATGATGTCTTTCCCACTTTCTAGCTATGTGACCTTGGACAAACTATTTATTCCCGCTAGGCCTTTTTCCTCATCTGTAAAGTGAAGAGATTTGATGAGCTTACCCACCAGCTCTAAATCTCTAACCCTTTAATGGTATAGTTCAGGAATCTATCGTTGGATGTTTGGGGGTCCACAAAAGGAAAGTCTTCTTCTCTCCAAGTTCATGGCTAAGATTCTTCTAGGGGCACTTATGAGATGGGTTGGGGCGATCTGTACATTTTGTTTTGGAACCCAGAATTTAAACTTACTTGAATTGAGTAATAGAGATTGTAAAACAGATTACTGGGTCCATTCTAAAATACTCCAGCACAGATAGGTCCAGTCTCCTAGAGTTAGATTCAAATCAATTTAACAAGCGTTTATTAAGTGAGTACTGTGTGCTAGGTGCCGAGGACAGAAAGACAAAACCAACTTAGACTATAGCCACCCCTGCCATACTCACTCTCTCTCTCTCTCTCTCTCTCTCTCTCTCTCTCTCTCTCTCTCTCTCTCTCTCTCTCCCTCCCTCTCCCTCTCCCCCTCTCTCTCTTTCTCCCTCTCTTTCTCTCCCTGTGTCCTTCCCTCTCTCCCTTCCTCCCTCCCTTTCTCTCTCTTTTTCTCTTTCTCCTCTCTTTCTCACTCACTCTCTGTCTCTATCCCTCTTTCTGTTTCTATCTCTCTTTCTGTTTCTATCTCTGTCTCTGTGTCTCTCTCCCTTCTTCTCTTCTCCCCTTCCATCCTTCCCTCTGTCTGTCTGTCTGTCTCTCTCTGTGTCTCTCTCTTTCTCCTCTCCCTATCCGCCACATCCTTAGTTTAGCTTAGGCTGTTCTATAGAAATGCAGCAACAGGTAAGTGGTCACTGGGGGGCTAGGGAATAAAGCCAATGAATTCTGACTTGTCCTAAAGAAACCAGTAATTCAGGAGAAAATAAACTGAGTCAAATGGATGTGGCCATGAAGATGTTAGCCCCCTGTTGTTGTCCATCCTTCATTTTCGAAGAAGACCAACAACATTACAATATTCGAGTCAGAGTACGGTGTGTTCAGCTGTGGTTGATCAGTCAGTCTTTGCCAGCTTTATTCTGAATTTATGTGTCTGTAATGATGGGGGGATTTGTGGGTCGGGAACAGGGTGTTAGGGATAAAGACTTGCACAGGCATCGGGTTAATTAATGAGTGGTGATGTACTCTAGTGACAAGCCCTACTGATTCTTTAATTCTAAGAGCAATCTTGAAAGGTGTGGCAGGGAGGCACAAAGTGTAGAACCTGAGGGTTATGAGAAAGGACGTAGGCCAATCTCCTTCTGCTCTGGTGATGTTTGGGCTTAGGAGGAAGGCTATGAGCAGGTTTTATGTAGGTTTTGGAGACTCAGATGCTCAAATGCATTTATACCACTGAGCAAAAACTCTGTTTCTTCCTTACAGCTCTGTAAAGCTCTTCGCAAACCTTAAATCGCTATATAAATGCTAAGTAATCATTGTCATCATCATTATAGTATGGGGAAAGTTAAAAAAAAAAAAAGGTTTGCTCGGCATAGATAGCATGGCTGCTGTTTAAATGTGCTTCAACTCAATTTAATTCCATTCAACAAGCATTTATTAAGCACCTTCTAAATGCCAGGCACTGTGCAAGATTCTAGATATAGAAAGATTTTTAAAATGAAATGGCCTCTGCCTTCGAAGTGCTTACATTCTATTGAGAGAAAATGTGTATGCATATAAATAAATATAAAATATATGCAAAGTAAATTAAATTAATTTAGAGGTGGGAAGGAGATGACTAGATGAATCAGGGAAGGCTTCATGGAAAAGGTGGCATTTGAGCTCAGCCTTGAAAGGAGTGAGGGAATCTAAGAAGTGGAGGTAAGGAGGAGCATTCCAGGTATAGGAAACAGTTTCTGCAGAGATGGGACATGGAATGTGGTATACAGGAAGCAGCAAATAAGTCAGTTCAGCCAGAATCTGGAATGCATGGAAGCCCCAAGCTCTCTTGTAATAAAATATTATCTCTCTTTTTGTTGTAGTCGATGTCTTGCCTACAACCCCTACACCCACCAAAAAGACCACCCCCAAGAGGAAAGTGTGCAAAACAAAACCCTCAGAGGTCACTCAACAGAATGGTAAGGCCTCCTTTCCATTTCTCTGAACCCTCAGCAATATGCTTGTTTGATTTTAGTAAGAGCTCCTTAAAGGAGCATGACTCACATAATGTACTATAAGCACAAATAATTTTTTTTTAGTATCTGCTATTTTGGATTTTCTAGACCACCATCCTCTAGCACAAATCTAGAATTAACTTCATTTAAATGCCTTTTTTTAACCAGTTGGAATTTTCTAAATGGCAAGTTGGAGTATGTCTCTAAATGGTATGCACACATACTTACATGATTCAGCTATTCTTACCTCCATCTTACATTTCTTTCTTCAAAAAAATCAAAGCCAGTTATTAGAGTTTATTAAAGCTGGAGACACACAAATATCTCTGTGTATATTGTATCTCCCAACTAGAGTGAGAGCCATAAGATGCATGTTTTATTTAACACTATGTTGTTCCTAACGCTTATTAAAAAGCTCTGCATATAGTAAGCACTCAATGAATGCTTGTTGGAACTGAAATTATTCTTATCCATGCAGAAAAAAAGGAGGCATCGGTCAGTGTCACTCACGGCTCTGTGTGGCTTCACCAGGAAGGCTGTCTGTATCCAAACCTTTTGGTTTGTGGGGTATTCCAATGAGGACCTCAAAGGGGATGAGAGATTTAACATGCTGTTTTTAAAAATAAATTTCAATTACTTCATAAAATTAAAAATAAATTTTAATTGATATATATGATTCCAAGCCTTTTATGATTCAGTTATCTGCTTGTAGATAGTAGTTAGAGACGGTCACAGGATAATAGATGTAGACCAGGGAGGGACCTCAGAGACCATAAATCTACACTTTAAAGATGAAGAAATTGAGATTCAGGAAGGCTGAATAACTCAAGCTTCCTCACATTTTCCTCCACTTACCTCTTTGACTTTCTTAGGAGATGCCTCCTGATTCTGTCCCAAAATGGGGCCAAAGAAGAGGCAGTGTTGTATAGTGGTTATGGTGCTGACCTTGGAGTCAAAGAGTCCTGGGTTCAAGCTCTGCATCTGACTCATTCTGGCTGTGTGACCATAAGCAAGTCACCTAATCTATCTTTTTCAACCCCAGACAACTTTGTAAAAGTATAAGTTAGAGATAGACTATTAATGTCCATTAGTGGAGGGAATCTATACACTAGGAATTCTCGATGCCCATGAATCATAGGTCCTACCCTCCCATAAAAAAAAAAGATTTTATAGACTTTGATTATAATTCCTTTTCATCATCTAGTGGTCAGTCTTCTGGTGATGAACTCCTCCATTTCACAGGTGAGAAAACAGAGGATTAGAGAGATTAATTGGTTTCTCAAAAGGCGAGTCTAGTATTCATTCCACTATGCCCTCCTAATATATATAATGTCCAGCTACCTCTCCTAATCTATACTGTCTCCTAATCTAGACTGCTTCCTCTAATAATCCCTTCCTCATTTTAATCCCTTTGTCTTTCTAGTTTGAAGAGTCTTCATTTTTTTCTTTAGTTTGTCTTTATCCATAAACCTCCTTTTCCAATTTCAGTCTCTTTGGTCATTCTAGTTTAGAGGTTCTTAACCTGTTGTCCACAGATAGATCTCAAGGGTTTTGTGAATTTGGATTGGAGAGTGGTGGTGGATTGTGTCTTTATTTTCACTAACCTCTCACTGTAATCTAGCATCCCCTTCAATTATGAATGTAGGCAACAAAATATTTTCCTGAGAGATTGTCCATAGGCTTTACTGGACCTCCAAAGAGGTCTAGGACACAAAAACATATTAAGACCCTTTGGACTAACTACTCTTTTCCAGACCTTCTCCTGCTCCTTGACATCTACTGAGAAGATGAACCCAACTGTGCTCAGAGATGCCACCGGAGGTGGTGGCAACGTGATTTCATACAAGGGGAAGGCAGTGTATTCTTGTTAGTGTACTGTAGTTCTCTTGCTGGTGCCTCAAATCTTGCTGGCCCCTTCATCCCACATCGACTCATTGGGCTGATGTCTTAAGGTATTGGTGGAGGGGGAAAGATACTGGCTTCAGCTGTGTGAGATGCCTTTATGTGTTTGCAGAATGAAAGGGATTGTTTAGAAATTTTTTCCCTGCCTCATCTGCACACACAACTGTGTCCCCTATCAAGGAAAAGAGTTTCCATGGTACAATGGGGAAAACAGTATAGCTGGAGCCAGAAGGCCTGGGTTTGAATCTTACCTCTGCCATTTATTGTCTTGTAACCTCAAACAAATCACTTAACTTCCCTGGTCTCAGTTTCCTCACCTGTAAAATGAGAGGGCCGCAGTATACTCTTTTTTACGGTCCCTTCCAACGATGATCTAAAGGGAGACATTTGTATTCAGAAGCAATGCTACTATTGACTGGCTTCTCTCTGTGGTTGGGGTGGCTGAAAAGACCAGCATGCTCTTACTGCAGTCCCATCCGTGCTGAAACACCTGCAAACACGGAGCCTTGGTCTTAGGGGCAACAGTTTCAGGCAGAGACTGGTTCTTATCTAAAGCTCACGTCTCCCGCAGCACCTTGAGCACTGTTCTGCACATGGCAGGTGTTTAACAAACACTTGTTGGATTCTCTTAGATTTTCTATCTATGAGGTTGGCCTGTTATAAGTGGTTCTCTGTTCATTATTCTTTCCTTACTGCTCTCCTCTTGATTATCTTGTCTTTGTTATGAAACTATATAGACTTAATAACATTCTTGGGCTCTTTTGATAGATGTTGATGGTCAACCAGTTAAGAGAAGCAGTCTGGGACATTGTATGGATTCGGAGGGTGTAGTGGTGAACGCTAGTCTCGTTGGCTTTTGGAGAACAACTTAATGTCTCCAGACCTCCATTTTCTCATCTGTAAAATGGAGGAGTTCATCACCAGATGGTTGGTCACCAGATGAAGATATATATTTTGCCACAATGATCGTCTCTTAAGGCAGGAGTTCATAACCCAGTATCCATGAACTTTTTAAACAATATTTTGAAAACTGTATTTTTTGTGCGTGCCTCAGGTTCCCTCTGCAGCGCCTTCACCCTAAGCCTGCTGGTGGGATGTGCTGTGGTTTTGCTCATCTCCATAATTATGATCATCCGAGTGAATTGTAAGTTGTTCATCATCACACATGGTGTAAGAGATCAAGAGATCTCCATTTTTCACAGTCCATTTTAGACCTGAGGAAAAGGTGGGGAAAGGGGGAAATGTTGGATTGCATCCTGAGGACCCTTTGTTTGAAGAATACTCCCTACCTTGCATACAGTAGGCACTTAATAAATGTTTATGAGATCAAATGAATTGGAATTGAGTAGGACCAAGAATGACCAGTGAGAGGCCCGTCCCAGTGAGGTCTAGAATCCAGTGTGGCCCATGTTACTCTTCAGGGCTGGGAAATGGGAGCAGCAGCAATTAGGCTGAAAGAGATGGGATTAGGGTCAAGTTAAGAACAAGTGGGAATGAGAGACAGCATGGCACCATTTTCTAGCTATAGGACTTTGTACGAACTATTTAACCTGCTAGGCCTTTTTTCTCACCTGTAAAGTGAAATGGTTGGGTGAGATGACCCGCCACCTCTAAATCTCTAACCCTTTAATGATACAGTTCAGGAATCCATTATTCACTGTTTAGGGGTCCACAGAAGGGGAAGGTCTTCCTCCGAATTCATGGTTAAGATTCTTCTAGGGGCACTTATGAGATGGGTTGGGCTTTCTGTACATTTTGTTTAGGAACCCAGAATTTAAACTCACTCCTTTCTTCACTGAGTTCAGAGCCTTTCTTTCCTTCCCACCTCTTATCCTCATACTTGAGGACTTCAACATACATATTGATGCTTCCTCAAATACCCCAACTTTCCAGTTCCCTAGTCCATTCAGTTCCCCATTTCACCTACACACTGAGCTGGTCCTGCCTTTGAGTTTGCTATCACTCACAAAGTGATAGAAAGCTCAGTCACTTACGTGGTCATGAACTCTGAAATTCCTTTATCTGGTCATAAATCTTTTATCATCTCATCTTTCTCGGTGCTTTACAACCCCGGCCCTGCTCTTCGTCCTCATGTGACCTCTCGTCCCTCTCCCTCAGTTCTTTCCCAAGCCATCACCCCGGTGCTGGCTCTCCTCCCTTCCCCATCTCGACTCTACCCCCTCCTCTTCTCTTGGATCTCTTGTTCTGGTATGCATCTCACCTCACCAAACCCCAACCCTGGTGTACTTCCGCCATCTGTCTCCTTCATTCCTCGTCACACACTGCTGAATAGAGCTGGGGGAAAATCATAAAGCCGTGATGACTTGGTCACTAAAACTTATCTCAACTGTGCCCTCACTGCTGCAATGCAAACTTTCTGTTTTTCTCTCTTTGACTTGCTGCCCTAATCTCAATGGTAATTGTTCCAAACCTTCTCATCTAACCTCAAACCTCTCATTGTGTCTTTTCCCTCACCCTTGCCTCATATTTGATCCCCCCACATTGAAAACATTTGACCAAAACTGCCCCTTCTCCCTCCCTCCTCATCTCCCATCACTCATACAACTTTTCCCGTTATCTTCTCCTTTGTGACAATCTCAGAAAAAGATGTGCCAAGGCAAACTCTTTTTTTTTCCGGGGGTACTAAAGTCATGTTAGGTCGACAGAACTGCCTATTCACAGTGGTGTCAGCTTAACTTTGTGGACAAACCAGAGTTCACTTTCCCCCTCATGTTAGCACGTATAGATTGCAGGATTGTTTTAAGAAAACTGAACTGTTATGTTTTCATTAAGCACACACGTAGCTAGACAATGGATTCTGGAGCCCGATATAAGACAAGGGCACACAGCAGCAACTCAGGGGCCAATTCCCTTACATAAACCCATTCCTTTTTCAGCTGGACAAAGTTCCTACTGGTAAAAGTTTAGACCGCTGCAATTAATTTGCTAGTGAGACTATTCTGAAAACTCCTTACAAAGGGTACACACACACACACACACACACACACACACACACAGAGCTTTGGACAAGATACAATTTCAAACCCTCATTACGGGGCAACTATAAAGCACATACCATGAGAAGTGAAGAATGCCACAGGCTAAATTGTCCAAAACACTCATTTCTCCATCAGCTATTTGAAGCATACCGTATTTTGTCTGATACTGACAACCAAAGGCCTTTGTGAGAAAACACGGCTCTTCTTGCTGAAGCAACTTCAAAAGGCTAGGGACATGCCCCACCCCAGTTTCTCTTAATAACCTATTATGGGTCGATCTTTCACAAATTAATGTTAATCTTTCTTGAACCTGTACTTTTTACCTCCAAACCACCTTAGTGTCATGTTCCAAAAGTTTGCTAGCTACTATCAAGGAGTGCTTAAGCTTTTCTAAAATTCTATCTTTCTGGCTTCAAAGGGGCACCTCTAGTACTAGTTTTCCAAGATTTAGTGAAAAAGGCCACTGTTCCCTTTAGTAATTCTTTCCATAATTTTATAAATTTTGACCATATCCACTCGGCCTCTCTTGACAAATTTTATTTTTCACTTTTGTCCGTCCTCATAAAAACTCCCATCATTGCCTGCCTTGTTCTTGTCACCCTGCTGCCTAGCCTCTGGCCTTGCCCTTCCCAATCAAATCGAACTGCATGTGTTGCATATGCAGACGAGTCATGGTTTGGATGTTTTTTCATTCCAAGGCAAACTCCTGTACACACGCCTTTGCTTCCACCCCTTCCTGTCTTCTCCAACAGATTGTCCCCATTATAATCTGTGCTCTTTCTTCTTCATTCTCTCTCTATCCACTGGCTGCTTCTCTGCTGCCTACAACATGCCCGTGTCTCCCTAAGACTCAAAAACCTCTCACTAGGCTACATCATTCGTGTCCTTCAAAGCTAAGCTCCTTGAGAAGACTGTCTACACACGTGCCTCCATCTCTCTCACCCTCTTGTAAAGCCTATGCAGTCTGGCTTCATCTTTCCCATGGAACGGCTCTCCCCAAAGTTACCCTCGATCTCTTAATTGCCAAATCCAATGACCGTTTCTCAGTCCTCAACCTCCTTGACTCCTCTACTGAAGTTGATACTGTTCATCACCTTTTCCTCTTGTATTTTCTCTTCTCTACATTTCTGTGAGCCTCCTTTCTCCTGGTTCTCCCTCTCACTCTAAGACCATAACTTCTCAGCCATATTTGCTGGTTCTTCATTCTTGTCACATCAGATAATTGTGGGGATCTCCTAAGTCTCTCGAGAGCACAGTGGATAGAGCACTGGGCTCCGAGTCAGGAAGACTCATCTTCCTAAGTTCAAATCCAGCCTCAGACACTTACTACCTGTGTGATCCTGGGCAAGTCACTTAACCCTGTTTGCCTCAGTTTCCTCATTTGTAAAATGAGATAGAGAAGGAAAATGGCAAACCATTCCAGTATCTTCACCCAGAAAACTCCAAATGGGGTCACAAAGAGTCAGGTGTGACTGAAATGACTGAACAACAACTCAAGGCTCTGTCCTGGGTCCTCTTCTCTTCTCTCTCTGTCCTCTCTCATTTGATCTTATCAGCCCCCATAGGTTCAGTTATCATCTTTGAGCAGATGATTTCCAGATCCATATATCCAGCCCTGGTATCTCGAAAGGTATCATTCTACATCACCAACTGCCTTTTGGATATCACAAACTAGAGACCATATGTCACCTCAAATTCCACATGTCCCCAAAACAGAGCTCATTATTTCTATCCACCCCAAATTCTCCCCTTTGATGAATTTCCCTCTTCCTCTGGATGGAACACCCATCCCCCCAGTCACTCAGGCTCACAACCTTGGTTGGCATCCTCATCTCCTCATCTCTACTCCTCCCATGTGCCCAATCTCTTACCAAGTCTTGCAGTTTCTACCTTCAGACCATGTCTCATATGTCCCCTTCTCTCCACTCACAGTCACCTCTCTATTTCAGACCTTCTTCATCTCTTGCCCGGACTATTGCAATAGCTTCCTAACTGACCACTTAGCATGATACCTGGCACATAGGAAATGCTCAATAGATGCTTCTTGACTGACTGACTGTCCCTTGCATATGACAGCCCTTAAAATGTGCAAAGATAATTGTTTCATCTCCCCTGAATCTTTTCTGCAGACTAAATATCCCCAATTTCTTCAAGCAGTCCTCATATACTGACCCAAGGCCCTTCACCATCCTCATTGCCCTCCTCTGGACACTTTCTATCAATGTCCTTCCTAAAATGTGATGCCCAGAACTCAGTAAGATACTCCAGTTGTAGAGTTTTGTGCATTTTTCTCTAGGGAAGCTTTTCATCTTATTCTGTCTTATTATTGTCTTGTGGTTTTCCATGGGCCAGTCTCTCCTCAGTGAGCTCATAAGCTCCTGAGGTCGGGGATGGTGAGGACATCCATGAGAATCCCAATAATCAACTGAAACAGTGAAGGGAACATAAGGAGGTGCTCAGTAAAGATTTGTTAGTTGATTAGTGGACATGAGGGTCTAACAGACGAAGTTAACACTCACGCTTCTCACTCTGTCTCTACAGACTTATGGAATGTAGCTCGGCACCACTTTGTGAAACAGTAAGTAATATGAATCCCCAAAAGGACTGCTGATGCTTAATGCCTGGTGAAAACTCTTTGCATGGGTTGGGGCATTCTGGGTTTCCATTACTCCTCATACAATTCCTGGTTTTTAGTAGTCACTAAATCTAACCCAAGACCAAAAGCCTAGAAGTTCTGGATTAAATGATCATGTGTAAATCTCAGAGAGCCAAATTTGGAGCCAGCGAAAGCTGATCAGGGCAAGGCACTTAAATCTCTCAATGCCTCAGGCATCTCTTTCCGAGTTTCGGTTGGAGGTCCTGAGCTACATTGTTAGAGGGAATTCCCTTATCTGGGAGGTCCTTATACCAATGAAATCACAAGTCTACTCCCTCTAGCTGTGTGTGCCAGACTTGGAGTTAGGAAGACCTGGATTCAAATCCTGCCTATGACACATATTGTCTGTGTGACCCTGGATGAGTCCTTTACCTTCTCAGTGCCACAGACCACTCTTTAGGGCATCATCATCATCATCAATAACAACACCAACAAATAAGTAATTAGAGTCATTAGGGCAATGAACAAACAAAAATAATGCTAATGAACTTATTTAATTAGCTTTTATTTTCCCAAAAAGGAGAGACCTCCCCAGAATCTGTGTATGTTGGGTATTAACTGGATTCTTTCAGTGTGCATTGTCTCCCTGCCTCTACCTGCCATAGGTGTGCCAAGGGCTAGGCAAATATGCAGGAATGTTTTTTCACCAAAAACAGAGATGGAAGAACTATGGTCTGAGCAAGTGTGCCAGCATGTTTTTGTAAAGACATACAACAAGTGTGTGTCCATTCTGATTTCCCAGGTATGACACACAATTCTGTGCCAGCTGTTTCTGAGACTCCTTCCACTGTGCCTGGCACAGGATGAGCCCCAAACACTTCCTTGCTTGTTTAACTGATTAGGGGGCCCCAGACTGAATTTATGTCATTGGTCACCACAAACAGGCATTGGGGATTCTCTCAGGTTCTGGCGCCTTGACTTTCCATTGCTCTTAAAACAGAGAATACCAGTGTTTGACTCATAGCAAGAGAGGGAGTTTCTAATACCTTAAAACCAACAGTATCTAGGGTAGGTGTTAAAGACTTATATGTCAATTCTGAAGACATAGTGTTTGTCTAAGTTCCTGTTCAAAACATTAAAATATTCCCATGCTCCTTGAGGGTAGTAGTTACTTCCCTCAGGGAGCTTACCATTTAGTCAAAGAGACACACACAAACAGGTCTGTACGTACAAGATAGATAGATCGATATAGATATGGACCAGTTGACCTTGAAGATTCAGTCTGGCTCCAAAGCCGTGATCCTGCAATGACCTGCTTCTTTCACAGCCTTTCATGGGACTGTATGACTCTAATTCCCTACCTCTCTGCTCCCCCCTCTTTTGTCTGTTGATCTTCCTGCTTCTCAAATTGTGGGTGCCCTCTAAGGTCCTCTGCTCGTCTGACCCTCTCTCATCTGCCTTTTGACCCTTTAGCGTGTTCACATTTGGCTGGGCCCCAGCGGAGAGCTGGCCACCATCTTCCTCATGATGATCCTATAAAATCGGATACTCCCAGTGCTTGGAAAGAGTTAATTCTCATTGTTACTAGTAATAATAACCACCATTTTAATGGAAATTTAAGGTTTGCATAATAACCCTATGAGGTAGTTGTAATAGGTGTTATTAATTCCGTTTTACGGATAGGGAAACTAAGGCTCAGATATTTCTTTAGCCTGCTTCCATTGACCCTGGGCAAGTCACTTGACCAGTCTCAGCCTCAGTTTCCTCAACTGTAAAAAATGAATGGGTTGGACTAGATGACTTCTGAAATCCTTTATTTCTAGATCTTTGGTCCTATAAGTCAGTGACTTTGCTTGCCATTGATTGATTTAATTCAATTCGATTAAACAAGTGTTTTTCAAGCACCGTGCTACCTGGTGACAGAAAGACCAAAGTAGTTCCTGGCCACAAGGAGCTTATTTTCTACCATGGGTAACAAAATGTGGATAGTTAATTAAATAAAAGAAATCAGTTCAGTCACATCTATCTGAGGGAGGATTTGAACCCCAGACTTCCTGATTCCACATCCAGAACCATAGCCACTCTACAATATTGCCTCTTATACATTAGTTCACAATAGCAAAAATTCAGCGTGCCAGCATCAAAAGATCAATAATTTTCTGACTTCTTTTTCAGGCTTCAAAGATGAATACACCTTCCCACCCACCCCTCCCCCCCCAAAATAAAGTTCTTCAAATAGCTTGCTGAAGAAATGCACTGGATTTTATATAAGCAGAATCGGAGAAACTGAGGCATGAGAATAGCAGTGAACTTTTGAAATTTTCCTAAGCCACTGGGGCTGCCTGCTTTGCACCATTGCCTGTCCCTCTTGTGAGTTGGATTCATAGGATACATATGTTTGGCAGTCATCAGTAGCATAACATCCTCTAAAACCTCAAGCACTTTCCGTAGTTTGCTGAGTGTCAATGGACTATGTTAGAAAGGACAATACATGACACAAATACCATTTCCTGTTGCTTGAGGAAAGATTCAGACATATGCTGGCCCAGAGCCTCTGAAAGTCACCAGTCAGCTGCCATGTTTGCAGTTTCTCAGCCCTGGGTCTGATACCATGATTCTAAAGTGTCTCCTCAATGACTGTCCAGCAAAACTAAGTTCGCAGAAGTGAAAGATAAAGCAGAGAAACTTCAGCAGGAGCAAAGGCTGCAGATTGTCCAATTTGCACAAAGAAACAGATGACCGTGGTTCACAGCATTGGTTTCTAAGTGCTAGTATGTGCATGATAGAATTAACTTTGGTCTCTGGTGTCAACAAGGGTTACTTTGCATGATAGAAAGTGGTGCAGCCCTTCCGGTCTGCTATTCTAGATCTTGTCTTTGTTTTTGTGCGTGTGTGTGTGTGTGTGTGTGTGTGTGTGTGTGTGTTTTGTTTTTTTTCCCTTTTCTTATCTCTGAACAAAAATGTTCTGAGTTTTTTGTTTGTTTTAAAATAAAGTCTAATGTAAATTGCTGTAGAAGTCTGGTCTTGATGTATATCTCTGGGTTCCTTTGTTCACAAATGTGACTTCAGAAAGAAATGCCCCAAATGCAAGACTGTTTTTATATCTTAGAGGGTTCCTAACAAGGATGATACTTCACATAGCCAAGGTCTTCTTCTTTGGGAGGACTCAGAAGTGGCTTGGTGGTATGTTATGGCAGCAGATACATGGTGAGTGGTAGCCACCAGTGATGACAGCCTTGTAAGCCCATGCGAAGCCCGATTGTCGGCAACAATCCAATTCAATAAGCATTTATTAAGTGATATGCAGGGAGAAGGGACAGCATGCTATAGAACAGGGGTTCTTAACCTAAGGTCCGTGAACTTTTAAAAAATATATTTTTATAACTTTCAATAAAATTGATTTTCTTTGTAATCCTATGCATTTTATTTTATGCATTTAAAAACCTTTTTCTGGGAAGGAGCCTATAGGCCTCTTTAGACTGCCAAAGGGGTCTTGGACACAAAAAAAGGCTAAAACTCTTCCCAAAGTAGATAGAAGGCTGGCCTTGGAGCCAAGAAGACTTAGCGCTGCCTTTAACACCTACTGGTTGGGTGACCAAGGACATTATTCAACTCTCAGTGCCCAAGGCAACTTTCTAAGACTATTCCTTATTGTCTGGATGGGGTATTACCTACATGGATGCATTCATAGGTCTAGAAGAAAACAAACCAACCCCCTCCCCCCCCAAAAAAGGAAAGAAAAACCAATGACACCCCTGCAAGTAAAAATATTAGGGTCTCTGCTTTGGAGCTCAGGGGAGATGAGCCCAGAGATTTTCCTCCAAGATTTCAAGGAGTGGAATTGGAGAAAAAACCAAGGACATCAGCATGGCCTTTCCATACCTGAATGTCACAAGGGCCTCTCATGGTCTCCTTCACATTTTTACTGAATGTTGAGCTGCAAAATTGGGAGTGCCCAGAGGTAGGGCATGCCCCTGCCCTGCACAGGACCCACATTCTATGAAGAAGCCCACTTTCTTTGTTTTTGGATGATAAGTTTGTTGGCAAGTGCCATGGGGGGAAAATGTGTAATGAAGGATTATTGGGTTGCTGGCTACTACCATTCAGGAAACTGACATTTACAGATAAGAATGTTAGAGTCCTCATAGCAAAATAGTAGTGGGCACCAGAAAAGCCTGAGAGCTCTCTCCCTTCACCACTGCCTCAAATGTTTAAATGTCCCTGCCTTCCAAAATGTGTTGCTGATACCAGTATCGTTTGCTGGTTTGCAAGCACACTTTGGCTTTTAAGGGTTTGGGGTTTCTTTGCTCTTAATTTTGTTTTCTATGGGGAATATACACACCTGTGGCAGAACTGGCTGACTTTAAGGAGTTGAGGGTAGGGCTTGGAGAAAGGGGTGGAGATGAGATGGGTGGTATTGATGTGGGTAGTTGCCATCTGCCTAGGGCAGGCTGGTGGGCTTTGCTAAAGAGGACTTTGAGTAGTTTGAAATCCTTCCTGCCTTTCATTTTATGTGCAAATATATAAATATATTTTAAAATTTGCTAATATTGTGCATCAATATTCATTAGTGTTATTGATCTCTAGTTCTCTTTATCTGTACTATCCTTCCCTGGTTTTATCAGGATCCTATTTGTTTCAAATAAATAATTTGATAAGAGTACCTTCCTTCTCTATTTTTGAAGATAGTTTTCAGAAACGTAGAGATTATTTGTTCTTTAAATGCCTAATAGAATAGGCACCTGGCACAGTGCCTGGCACATAGTAGGTACTTAATAAATGTTGATTTATCGATTGATTTGTGAACTCATCTGGTCTTGGTATTCTTTTCTGTGGCGGTTCACTTACGGCCACTTTCTTTTTTTTCAAGATTAGTTTGCCTAGGTTATTTATTTCTAATCTTGTCAAATTTGATAATTTATATTTTTATAAAAATTCATCCATTTTCTTTAAACTTGCTGGCATATACATTATTCAGTTTGGTTTTTCTCTCCACTATACCCTCTGACATATACTGGTTTTTTCATCATACAACTGACTGAGCAAGTCAGTGAATCTCTCATCATCCTCGGGCAACTTAACTAAAACTACTAGTTACAGATGAGTTACAGACCTACCTCAGCATTGGTGAAGGGAGTTTCTGCACAAGAAACTAATGAAATCACATTCTTCACACACACACACAAAATCCTGCCAACTTAGACTTCGCAGAGACAAGCTCCCACATGGTCACCCTACCACCCTCCTACATGTACGCACCCCAACAACCCCCTCAACATAGACCTTTAATTTTAAGGTAAACATTTCAAAGCGTCCTCTTCCTCTCCTCCTCTTCAGGTAGATGTGTGGTTTAAGAGTTTACCCACTCCAGCCCACCCTTCCTCCCTCCTCATGAGTTCAGGCTTCCTTTGTCTTCCTGTCACTTTTAAGAAGGAACCCAAGGGCTCTGTGGTGACTTCCTAGGGCCCAGAGCTGACCCAGGAAGCCAGAGAAAAGACATCATATCCAGCAAAAGGTTTTGTTTTATTTTGTTTTATAGGTCACCCCAATACCTGATAATTTTAGCTAAACCCTATTGAACAATTGTAGGTTTCTGGGCCAAAGGTGTTCTCTCATTTCACCACCATCTCTGTGAAATTTTGGTGAATACTGCATTTGGAATCAAAAGCCCTGGGTTCAAATCTCACTTCTGAAACTTACTACCTGAGTCATTGTGGGCAAATCATTTAAACTCCTTGGGCCTTAATCTCTTTTACTATAAAGAGAAAAGGTAGACTAAGTATTCTCTGAGGTGACTTCTAGCTTAAGCCCCATGCCCCATGATCTCAGTTCAAATACCAGTTGTGCCACTTACAACCTATGTGACCTAGACTCCGGTCAGGAAGTCAAGGTTTGTAAGCTATCTTCGAGATGGAGGGGAAAAGAAGATCCCCCACCTCCACTTTCTCTTTTTTTGTTTTTCAAACTTGGTCAGCTTCTAAAGGTAGAACCTTTCCTAAACTGCTTTAAATTCTATTCCCTTCTGTTTATTCTGTTTATTATCTCCAATTTATCCTATATATAGCTTGTCCGTACATAGTTATTTGCTTATTGTCTCACCCATCAGTTACTTGAGAGCAGGGATTGTCTTATGCCTTTCTTTGTAACACCAGAATTCAGCATTGTGTCTGGCACATAGTAAGCATTTAATAAGTGCGAGTTAACTGACTAAATGTATCCTGAGTCCTAGCACATAATAGGTACGTAATAAACGCTTGCTGACTGCTCATAGAAAGTAGGTGGCTTGTTTTCAGAAAGTAATCCCCAGGGTGCCAGTGGAGGCAGAAGATCTAACATTCCAAACCTGTCCCTACTCAAACAGAGAGTCACCTCTTTGAGTGCCTTTCCTAGTCGGAGGAGAAGAAAGAGCTCACTCTTGCTTGTGCGTTGGTGACAACCCAAGAGAAAACATCACTTAGTCATTGCAAATTGGTTTCTAAAGAGAAGGAAACTAGAGAGTCAACCCTGGTTTGGGGACTCAGAGAGAGGACAGCAGCAGTAATGAAGACTTCATTGGGATTTCCTTTTTTATTTCAACATAGTTGTAGATTCAGAACTGGAAAGGACCTCAGATGTCACCTGGTCCAGAAGCCTCATTATACATATGAGAAAACTGATGTCCACTACTTGGGTAGCCCTGCCTCATCTCTTTGACAATCTCTTTTACATAGATAGTATAATCCTACAGCTCATATACCCCTATCACGCGTCTCTCCATTGGCTTTAAGGTGACCTGCAACTTTGATTCCCTCAAAATGGTGGTATTTCATCATTTATAGCCATATAGCATCTCCAAAAAAGATTTAAGAAGGTATTTTAAAAGACGGATCTTTTAGATGGAGGAGTAGTTGAACCAATTGTGCTCTATGAATGTGATAGAATATATTATGGCCCCATGAGAATTATGAGTTGAAGGAATTCAGAGAAATATAAGAAGATGGGTCTATACTTAAAGCAGAGAGAAATAAACAGAACATCTTTTGTGACCTTGGACAATCACTTCATCTCCTTGGGCCTCAGTTTCCTCATCTATAAAATGAAGGAATGGGACTAAATGACCCCAAACACCCCTTCCACCTCCAAGTCCATGATCTTCTTGTCTTCTGTATGTGTCAGGAAACTGACAATTACTCTCTCGTCTTCTCCAGTGGTTCCTCCAGTTATATTTTCATCCTTCCAGGGATACTGGCCTCATCCACTCCTCTTGGTTTAAGGCTTGGGAAATGCTTTTCAGATGTTAAGATTTTTCCATAAATGCTGGTTGTTACTCTGATTACTATTTTTTTTCCTCTTTGGACACCATCTATGGCTCCACTTACCTTCCTAAGGCTGTCCCTGATAGCCCTTACTCTTTTATTCTGCCAATAGATCATCAATCAGTCAATAAACATGTATTAAGTGCCTACTACATGCCAGACCCTGTACTAAGTGTTGGGGATACAAAAAGAGGCAAGAGACAGTCCCTGCCCTCAAGGAGCTTAAAATCTAATAAGGAGTTTACAATCTAATGAAATTAGAGAGAAGATGCCCTCTCTCCTCTCTGCTCCCCAGCTAATCCTCAGCCAGGGACAAAAGATGCCCCAGGTTTTTCCTGGTTCTTGTACTGCCTCATCCAATATATGGCAATTTTATCAGAGTTCCTTATGATCCCAGACTTTAGAGTCCCTGGTTTATGCATGTACACAGAGACACTGGTGTTAATGGCTTTTGCCTCAATCATGGCAACATAAAGAGTAAACATCAAGCAATCAGGCTTGAAACCTTTTTTCCCTGATTGTCACCTACTTTGGAATAATTAATTCTGGGCACTCTGATCAATACGGTAATCAAATGTGACTTTAAAATACACAGAAGAGAGCAGAAGGAAGTCCAAAGGGAACACAGACAAGCAAAGCAATGTGGGTACTACTGTGTTAAATTTAATATATGCTTTTAAAAAAAAGCTATCTGTAATAGAAATTCATGGTTTCATGTATAATCCTTTTTTACAAATTGAAATATTCATATTTGTCAAGTTTATAATACATTTAAAAAAATAAAAAAAATGTTCAAGGATGGGTCAGTGCTCTTTAGTGTAGGTGGGGTGGCAGAGTCTAACAGAAGCCTCCCAGGCCCCCTTGATTCTCTCCCCTCCCCCACTGCCCAACAGGGAGGTGGGATTTCCCATCATGACCCTATGCTTTCCTCTTGTTGCTTTCAGGGCATTATCACCTTGATTGATCAAGGCTCTGGCGTACTTCACAAACCCACAAACATAACAGGGACTCAGATTATTCCATTCTTCATCTGTAAGGCACTTACAAGATCCTTTACCCTTTCAGGAAACCTTTTTGTTTTGTTTAAAGAAGAAAAAGCCCCCACAATGATTGGCCTCTCAATAGCTCTTATGTCACACTGGACACTCCCTTTCACTTGACGCCTCAAGATCTTGCCAGACAAGTGTCTGATTCTGCCCAGTTGAACCCAGGCTTTCCCAGGGAAGTCTAGTGACAAAGCCAGGACGAAAACACAGTAGCCCTACCTGCCGGCAGTGTCCCAACCACAAGATCACACCTCCACCCACTTCCTGGTCCTTTCATCCAGGTTTGTCACTTCAATATTTCCATAGATCTATGATCTCGTCCCTGTGGGGTCTCCCTCCCACTCTGCAGATCACAGATGCATCTCTGGTCTTCATTCAGGACATGCCATTTCCTACCTCCTGGCTTTTCTCCCATGCCTGGAATTCACCCTCCCCTCACCTTAGACTCCCTCCTCTTCCTTCAAGATGCTGCTCAAACACCATCTTCTATGTGAAGCCTCAACAAGTCCCCCAATAACGGTTGCTAGTTCTCTCCCTCCCAAAGTACCTCATATTTAAACTGATTTGTATTTATTCTCTTTATATTTATTCTATATGTACTTGCAGTCTTCCCCATAAGAATGTAAACTCTTTGTGGGTAAGGATCGCTTCATTCTTTGTGTTCCTAATGCCTAGCAAGAGCTGGGCACATAGTAGTTGCTTAATAAATGATTTATTAAATTGAACTGAACTGAACCTATCCAAGTCTCCTTGTCTGGGGGGACTTTTGTATATGAGCTCCCATAAATCCTCCATGGGGGCACCTACTGTGCTGGAAGCCTTCCCTTAGATCTCCTGACATTGTATGAATACCAATGAAGCATGCAGGCTTGCTGGTTGGGTATCTCCCACTCATGAAGGGCCCGTCTTCTTTTCCCAACATACATCTTTTCAATCATATTTGTTACACCACTTCTCTTGTGCAATTCTCCATGGCTACCACCTACCCATACCTACCACATGCGCCTCGACGTCCGCATGAATCATGCTTCCCCGACGATATCAGATTTTAATCAATTCCTAAAGTTGACATTTCTTGAGAATCTATTCACTCCTCCATGAAGTTAATTTATTTTATTTTTACATTTTTATTGATATATTTTCCCTTGTTAAAAGTAGTAACTTCCCAACATAGACTCAAAGAAAACTCCCCTCAAAGTAGATTTCCTGAAAATGGTTAGGCAACATTTCTGCTGGTCTCATGGTTGTGGCCAAGTTTCTCTTTGCTACCAGATTCTGGATTTCATCTCCTCGGTGCCCTTCCTGGCTGTCTCTGCTCCCACCTGCCAGGACAATGATAACATCAATAACAAAAACAACAATAACCACTACAAACAGGTAGGACTCCCCATTCAATGCCAAGCAGAAGTCCCCAGGGTTAAGACTGAAGAGTTCACTGTGCCCAAAGGTCTATAAAACTGTGCATACCCCTTTGATCCAGCAATACCACTTCTAGGTCTGTATCCCAAAGAGATCATAAAAATGGGAAAAGGACACACATGTACAAAAATGTTTATAGTAGCTCTTTTTGTGGTGGCAAAGAATTGGAAATTGAGAGGATGCCCGTCAATTGGGGAATGGCTGAACAAGTTGTGATTTATGAATTTAATGGAATACTATTGTGCTATATAAAATGATGAGCAGGTAGATTTTAGAAAAACCTGGAAAGATTTACATGAACTGATGCTGAGTGAAGTGAGCAGAACCAGGAGAACATTGTACACAGTAACAGCAACATTGTGAGATGACCAACTTTGATAGACTTAGCTCTTCTCAGCAATACAATGATCTAAGACAACTCCAAAAGACTCATGATGGAAAATGCTATCCATAGCCAGAGAAAGAACTGTGGAGTCTGAATGCAGATGGAACTATACTATTTTCTCTCTTTTTTGTTTTTTCTTTCTCTTGGATTTTCCCTTTGTTCTGATTCTTCTTTCACAACATGACTAATGTGAAAATATGTTTAATATGGTTGTACATGTATAGCCTACAATTGCACACTTTCTTGGGAAGAGGGGAAGGGAATCAGGGAAGGAGACAAAAATTTTGGAACTCAAAATCTTATAAGAGTGAATGTTGAAAACTATCTTTACATGTAATTGGAAAAAATAAAATACTATTAAGTGGGAAAAGAAGATTGCAGGGTTCACTTTTGCTGGCAAAATCAGTGGTCCCTGCCATCAAGGACTTTACATTCTACATTACAACAGGAACATATCAAATACATACTAAGTAAAAAAACAAGGCAATTTCTAGAGCTCAAGGCAGGAAGAACATTAGCAAGTGGAGGAAGCAGCATAGGCCTAGTTTGAGCTCTGCCCTGAAACAAGCTAGGAGTTCTTAGAAATGGCGGTGGGGAGGGAGTGCATTCCAGGCCCAGGGAGGCAGGAGATGGAATGAATGCCATATACCACCCAAAGCAAGTAAGTCGGTCTGGCTGCAATATGGAGTTAGTGAGGGGGAGGAATGCCCAAGAAGCCTGGAAAATTAGGCCCCAGCCAGTAGCAAAGCTCCCAGGCTTGGAGCTGCCCTATAAACACTTAAATTAGGCAACCTCTATTTAACCCACTCTGGGAAGTGGGAAGAGGGTGTGGATTGTGGGATCAGAGACTGAGGGCTGGAAGCTGGGACACCTTAGAGGTCAGTGAGTGCCACCTCCTGATGTTGCAGATGAGGAAGGGAAGAGGGTGTGGAGGAATCCAATATGGCAGCCGAGAGGGGCCCCAGCCCCTTCTCCTTCTCAAGACGCTTTCTCCATACACTGTATCTTTGGGCTCCCTGTGAGTGAAGTATGATTATTCTCCTTCTGCAGGTGACTTGCCCAACGTCACACAGAAAGTTAGTAGCCGGGCAAGAAGCTGGGTCTCTAGATTCCAAGGGTGGTGTTCCTTCCACTATTCCATAAATTCATAGTGTAACAGGATTTGGGGCTGGAAGGATCCACAGAGAGGATCTAGTCCAGGGTTCTTAACCTCATGTTGACATGTGGTTGTTATTGTTGTGTAGTCGTTTTCAATTGTGTCTGACTCTTTGTGACCTCACTTGTGGTTTTCTTGGCAGAGGTACTGAAGTAGTTTGCCATTTCCTTCTCTGGCTCATTTTACAGATGAGGAAACTGAGGCAAGCAGGGTGAAGTGATTTGCCAGGGTCACATAGCTAGGGTCTGAGGCTGAATTGGAACTCAAAGATGATCTTCCTGACTGCAGGCCTGGCTTTCTATCCACTGCATCACCTAGCTGGCCACCATGTTTACATACTTGTATCTTGAATATTCAATAGCTGTATATATTTTTTAACTAAGTGATTTTTTTCAATAACCATGTTTCAATATAATTGGCTCCCATTAAAATCCCATACGTTTTATGCATTTAGAACCATTACTCCGAGAAGGGGCCCACAGCTTCACCAGACTGCCAAAGGGATCTAGGACACAGAAAAAGGGAAGACCCTCTAATGCAGTTGAACTATATTTTTGAGTGTAGGAAACTGACCCTTGGAGAGTTGAGGTTTCTTGCTTTATGCTCTTAGAGGAACAGTTTCCTTTGTGTATTCCCAGTACAACGCCTGGTACGTAGCAGGCAATTAATAAATGCTTGCTTGATTAAGGACACACATATCAAATGGCAGAGCAAGAAATTAAATCCAAATTGTGGGACAATGAAAATGTGGTACATTTGAAGTTGGAGCTTGAGAACCCGAGTTCAAATCCTAATCCTGCGGCTTACTACCTGGACAAGTCACTCGATCTCTGTGAGCCTCAGTTTCTTCATCTGTAAAATAAGGGTGTTGGACAAGGTGACCTCTGAGCTCCCCTTGAGTGAGCCGGCCCTCCAGCCAAGCTCCGTGAGTGACTGTGTTGGCTTTCCCCCTCACCCTCCTCCAGTGATACCTTAGAACTGGCATTTTCCATTAGTATGCCAAAGGTTCTGTCTGCACCTCAACGCTGGGTCTCCTGGGTTTCCATCTTCAGAGAGGTTTATTTGCTCCTCTTTGCTGCTGTCAAGTGATCACAAAGCAACCACATTGAGTGAGAGGCTCTGCCAGGGCATGCTTGGGTAGCTCTTTGAGCAGGCATCAGATAAAAATGCCACCTGAAGAGAGCCTCGCTAAGGGTTGACTAAGGCGTTGGTCCAACCAGGGCAAATGGAGATTTGGCTCTTTTCTAAGGACAATGAGGGTACTTGGGGATTCCCTGAGTGGTAAAGATGGGCTCACAGGAGGTAGACCCTGCAGCCGGGTTGAGGGTGAGGAGTCAGAGCAGACTGGTTGGCTTCCACGACACTTGGTGCCCCCTTCCCTCCTCTACACCTGCCTGTTTGATGTCTTCTTGTGGTGACTGTTCTATAGGGTGGCGAGCAAACAGGTTGTCAGCCTTTGCAAGCCCCCTGGGCTCCCTGTGCATGAGATGCTGCCTGGCTTCACTCCTAGCTTTGTCAAAGAATCAACCAAGTCATTGTACAACTTCTCCTGCTGGCAACAGGTAGAGTGACTATGTTACTGGCTATATACTACTATGTTACTAGTAGTTACTATTCAAAATACCAAGGGGGTTCAATGTCATCATATTGATAGGGAAAGGACATTGAGTTTATAATCAGGAGACCTAGATTCAAACCCTGACTCTGACACTTACTAGTCAATCAACAAACATTTATGAATGCCTACTAGGTGCCAGGCACTGTGCTAAGTGCTGGGAATACAAACACAAGCACAAAGAAAGACAGTCCCTGCCTTCAAGGAGCTTGCACTCTAATGAGGGAAGCAGGATGTAAAAGGAAGCAGAAAAGTGGGTGGGGTGGGATAAGGAATGGGGAGGGAAGGCAATGATGAAGAAGCTCAGAGGAGTGTGACCTGATGGGGAATGACTGAATGACTCTAGGAGAGTCTTAGGATTATGGCTCTCGATTTGAAAAGCACCATAGACGTCACTTAGTCCAACCCATTTTATAGATGCTGAAATGAGGCCAAGGGACCTCTGAGGCCGTCTTGATCAACCTAGTCATGAAGGAATCTCCACATTATGTACCTTGGAGGGAAGCTTTTATTTATTTGTTTGTTTGTTCGTTTGTTTAGGACGGCAAATGAAAAAGGAAAATCAGGTCTCTTGGGTCAAATGTCCTGTAAGATGCCAAATGTCCCATTGCCATATATATATTGAAGGCTTATAGGATACTGCAGAGATTATATGCAGGAAAAAGACCTGACCCTTAAGGCTTTTGCGTCTAAGCTTTAGTAGAATGTCAACTTCACAACATCAAAGACTGTGTTATCTTTGTCTTGGTATTCCAGTGCCCACCACAGTGTCTGGCACATAGTAGGTCCTTAACAGATGTTCAGATGAAAAAAGGGAAGGAGATAGGAGAAGAAGAGAAAGGGAAAGATCAATCATAGGAAAAGAAGAGAAGGGAGATGAAGAGAAAAAAAGGAGAGAAGACGTCAAGTAATCTTGGAAGTTGGGGAAGGAGGAAGGAGGAGAAATGCAGACAACAAATAATTTTATCTTTGAGCAGGATCTGTACTGTGGGGGCCCACATGGCCACTGGCTTCTACTCTTACCCAGGAGCTTGCTAAAAGTGAAACTTGATTTGTTGAGTGGGTTTTAGAAAGGGTTGCATTGGAAAAGACAATGTTCCATTTGGGGGTCTACATGCAGTTTTAAAATAACCTCCTCATCTGTTTCAATATCTAGTGCCATGTTCTTGCTGAGCGAACAGCAAGATTGATTCAAAAAGTCAATAGACTTTTAAATTTTTTTATTGATATCCTTAGTTTTTATATCCTCTTCATTTTTCGATATTTCCCTCCTCCTTCATTTTCCCAGAGAGCCACCCACTATTACAAAAAACAAAGGGAGGGGCAGGTAGGTGGCACAGTGGATAGAGCTCCTGCCTTGGAGTCAGGAAGACCTGAGTTCAAATTTAGCCTCAGACACTTGACACTCACTAGCTGTATGACCCTGGGCAAGTCACTTAACCCCGATTGCCTCACCAAAAAAAAAAAAGCAATAAAAAAATAAATAAAAATAAAGGGAGAAGGGAGAAAGCAGTTCAGAACCAACCAATGTGTCAGCCAAGCCTGACAAGCCATGTATGCATTCTTCCAACACCATAGTCCTCCACCCCTGCAAAGAAGGGAGGGAGGTACGTTGTCTCATTTTTCCTTTGAGGAACAGCTTGGTCATTATAATTACACAGCATTCATTTTTATTGTGTTCGTGTGTTTTTTTTCAAATAATATTTACAAATGCCTCCTGTATGTTGGGGACTGGGAGAGATACAAAGTTGCCAAAAAGACTGAGCCCCTGCCCTCATGGAGCTTAGAGTCTCCAAAGGGGATATGACAGAAACATCAATAATTTTAATATAAAAAATACATAAGTGAATGAAAGCATAGAAAAGCATTTATTAAACACCTACTATGTGCCAGCCACTGTGCTAAGCACTGAGGATAAAAAAAAAAAGACAACAGACAGCCCCTGCCCTTAAGTAACTTACAGTCTAATGGAGAAAATGACATACAAACAGCTAGATACAAATAAGATACGGACAGGGTAGTTTGAGGTAATGTTAGAGAAAAGGCAGTAAGATCTAGGAGGGTTTTAGCTGAGACCTGAAGAAAGCCAGGGAAGCCAGGAGGGAAATGAGGAGGGAGCCTTCCAGGTATGGAGGATGCCTGGGGAGACTTGGAAGATGAAATGTCTTATTTAAGGGACTTCAAGGAAGCCAGTATCACTGGATCTCAGAGTACAAGGCAGGGTAGGGTAGTGAGGAGCAAGGCAAAGTTAGGTGTAAGAGGCCTGGAAAAATAGGAAGGGGTCAGGTCCTGAAGGATTTCAAAAGCCAGACAGGATTTTATACTTGACCCTGAAGGCAACACAGATACTGGAACTCATTGAATGGAGTGTTGGGGGTGGTGGAAACATGGCCAAAAAGGATCAATATCACAGATTTAGAGCTAAAAATCATCTTAGATGATTAGAAATCATCTGGTCCAACCTCCCATTTTACAAATGAGTAAAATGATCCCCAGCAAGAAGAAGGGATAGCCTGGAATGGAAACCAGGTCCTTTGAATACAAATCCTGGGCTCCTTCTACTGTGCTGCAGTGCTGCTAGGATTTGGGGGGTCCCAGGTGGTTTTTGAGCTTCCTTCCAACTTTAACTCAGGAACTCAGTGAGATTGCTATAGGATTCCAAGTATATAGTAAAGAGAGCCACATTAGGTTGAATGAATGAATGAATGAATGAATGAATGAATGAATTGAAAACGTTGTTTGGGAAGCACTGTAGCTTACAAATATGGGAGAGAGAGAGAGAGAGAGAGAGAGAGAGAGAGAGAGAGAGAGAGAGAGAGAGAAAGAGAGAGAGAGACATCCCTACTTCGAAGAAGCTTACCTCCTAGTAGAAGGAGACTGCAGATAGAGGGGCAATTGGAATAAATATGAGAGATCAAAGAGATGGGTCCCCAGACTCAGCAAGCTGAAGGATCCTGACAATGTCACCAACAATACTAATTAGAGCTGAACTTACTATGTGATTCTGGGCAAGTCAGTTCACTTCTCCATGACCTCTGGCACTCTCTGAGACTCTAAGTTTCAGGGTGCGTGGTGACTTGCCTCAGTAGAAAGTATCTCTTCATCCTGGAGTTCTATGATACTGGTGAAATCACAGATCTGATCCCAAAAGAATTAACTGATAAAAAAAAAAAAACCAACTAGAGTTATAATCAGTACCACCCATCCAAGAAAGCCAGGCATTTCCTCCTCTCCAGGCCACCCAGACACCACCACAGGGACCACTGAGCTTTAGTAATCTGGAATAACTGGGGAGAAGCTCAGTAAAAAATTCAAAGGGTTGCCTGCTTCAAAAGGATGTGGTAGGATTGCTTTTCAGGACGTCAGTGATGATGCTGAGAAAGACTATGTTAAAATTGATTATCTGAAATAAAAAGGAAACTGAGGACAACATTATGGAACCATCTATGATTTAATCTGCAAAGCTATCATTTGCACATCTTTTTAAAATTAAATTAACTTTATTTTTAATTTATGGAATAAAACAAGCATTTCTATCACACAGTATAATAATAAAAAAAGATGACTGCACATAAAATTGCAAATCTATGTATAACTTGCTATTCATTTTAAATATATAACAAAGTTATCATGTAAATTTCTTTTTTTTCTTCCCTCTCCCCCGCCCCGGAAGCCCAACAGTCTAGACTAGAGTTTCCTAACCATTTTTGTACTCTGGATCCCTTTGGCTGTGTGGTAGAAATCTACGGGCCCTTTCTCAGAATAATGATTGTAAAGGGACAAAATAAAATACAAAGTATTACAAAAGGAACCAATTATGGAGAAATACAGTTCTCAAAATATTTTAATCACAAGCTCATGGACCCCAGATTAACAACCCCTCATCAGTCACTCAATCAACAAACATTGACCAAACATTGACCCAAGTAACTAGCATGCAGAGGAGAACACGATCACCGCATCAGGAGTACAAAGTGCCTCTCATTTATTCTTGGCTTAAGAGGATGCCACTTTGGCAAAGGAAAGCTACATTGGGTAATGTAGGTGATGTAAAAACAAAAAATATGAAAAAATTTTTTTAAAATGCTTATTGATCAACTGGCATATATTTGTGTATTTACTTCTCTGTGTTCATGTTGTTCACCCCCAAAAATATAAATTCTTTTCTGGTAAGGACTCTTGTCAGTTTTCTCTTGAATCTCCAACACCTGGCACATAATCGACACAATAAATCTCTGTTAATAAATGAAAGAATCAGTAGCATCTTTTACATCCTCTCATCTCTCTCCAGGGCAGATACACATCTCAGGTCGTACATGAGTACACTTGTACAGTTCATTTCTCTCCATACTCAAGTCAAATCTCACTATGTCAGAACCTGCCATTTTAGAATTTAAGCTGAAAGAATGTCCAGGCCTGAGTTAAGCTTTTCTTTTATCTATCTGGGGGTGGGGGTGTAAGGAGAGAGAAATGATGTTGAGTAAATGAGTAACATAAGATAGGGAGAGTGGACTGCATATGGATGAGAAAAACTCCCTTTCATGTGATTAATTTTATTAGTACTTTTTGTACCTAATCATTGAGATAGGAATAAAGACTGGATGGGTGATTTCAATGGTCTGGGGAGCTCCCGTGGGAGGAAATTCTCTCTATCAATTTGGGTCAGCACCTATTCTGCAACCTATGCTTCTGAGAAAATATTTGGTAACTTCAGCAAATTAAAGACCATTTTCCAGATTTTTCACTGGTTCAAAGTTGGTCTTCATTCTTGCCTCTCTGCCCTACCCAGGACTCACTGAGGTTTGGCCACAGATATGTATTTCCCTACTGTACCATGGCCATCCAGTCAATCAAAAATGAAGATAATCATAGGATCAAAAATTCAGAGCCATCTAATCCAACCCCTTCACTGTACAGATGAGGAAACTGAGGCCCAGAGAGGTTAAATGATTTGCCCAATATCAAAGACCTGAATGCTTTCCTTCTTCCTTCCCATTCCTCCCTATGTACTCATTCTGAGAAAGCTAGTTTGGATTGGGAAATAGTATCCCATTTCTCTCCTCGTTTCTCCTTCTTGCCTAATAATCTTCACTCTTAAGATTAGTTACTAATACCTATAAAATTAACTATTCACAACTATGAAAATCAAAAAATGTTTCCTAAGAAAAGTCATCACAATCACATAAAACTTTCATCTAACTTTTTCCAAATAATCAGCCCCAAGGAACTTAACTTAAAGATTCAAATCAATTCAAAAAGCTTTCATAAATTGAGTACCTACTAAGTACCAGACCCTATGCTCCACACTTATGATGCAAAGACCAAAAAAAAAAAAAACCACCCACAATCTTGGAGGTCAGTCCCTGACCTCAAGGAGCTTACATTCCATAGGGGTACAGTCTTACAGGTACACTCATAAGCTTCATTTCTTTCTATAGTCAAGTAAAATTCCATTACATCAGACCCTACCATTTTATAAAAAAATTTCCAGGACTGGGTTAAAATTTTCTTCACATCCACAGATAAGTAATAATAAAATTATACTAAGTGCAAGTATATTCAAATTTGAACTAAGAAACAAGTACAGGTAATCTGCTAGAATGAAAGCATTATAATCTAGAAAAAGAATATTGAACTGCTCAGCGACTGAGGTTAGGTCCAGGGGTATATTGGATCCACTTCAAATCAGCTGGTGAGAGCCCACCGTTAAATTTTCAGTATGAGCATTTACATCTCAGAAATGAGCAAATGCTATGAATTAGGGCTTGATTTGTTGTTTTGCTAATTGTCTAGACTTAGTAAAGTGATTAATACACATTAAACTAAAAAGTGTATCATGTCTACTTTTTAAAAAAAAAAAATACATTAAGCATTCATCAGTATACCTCTGGTTAGGTCTCCCTAGGGCAACTGAATCGAACTACCCTGTATAGACAGACTAAGAAACATTTCAAACTCACAACCCCACAATCATTGGCAAAAGCCAGTGGTTGATTTAGGCAAGACCACGGAGAGAAAGAAAAAAAAAAGACACTCATAAAATAAATTGTCTTGTGTCTTACAGCCCAAATAATCAGCCAAGAGACTGAATTTCTTATTTTTCTGTGTAAATGTGTTCTAGAAGAGCTCAGAAATACTGAATGTTAACAGTGAGAAACTTCTACCCTCCATACTAAGGAAAAAAAAAAATCACGTCCTGGTGAATGACCAGTGACCCTGAGTTCCTCTCATCCAAAAACAAAACCAAACAAAGCCCAATCTATAAACCAACACATTTCCAATGCATTTAATTGTATACTTCAAAAAACTAGTTCTAATTTCTAATAGTTCAAGACCAAAGTCTGAAAGTATTTCAATGTAAATTGAAGTTAAAATAGGTTTAAAAAAAACCAGATCTATATATAAGCAATCAAGACAAGTATTTATTAAGTTCCTACTATATGCCAGGCATTGTGCTAGGAATACAAAAACTAAAATTGGTCTGTCACCTCAGGAAGTTTACATTCTATAGGAGAAATGACATACAGACATAGAAATAAATACAAAATCTATTCAATGCAAAAACAACATAATGGGGGGTATTAACAATCCATATAACCTATAAAATATCCAAATAATTATATAATATAAATAACATAATGCGATATGTCATAAATAAGACAGGGAATATAATATGTACTAATCAATGCACAGATTTCCAAGGGAACATTTTCTTCAACAGCTAATATCTCCTTTCTTACTGGTTTTTCCCTTCCCAAAGGCAAATAAGTTTGGTGCTCAGAACTGCGGTCTCTAAGGCATTTGTTAACTAAAGGATCGATACCTGCCCATCAGCTCCTCAGAGATACTCAGGCTACTCACCAAGTCTTTCTCCATCGAATACTTATCCTTCCCAAGTGGTACAGTGGAAAGAACTCTGGCTCTGGAGTTCCCAGGACCTGTATTCAAATCCCGCCTCAGACGCTTACTACCTATGTGACCTTGGGCAAGTCACTTAGCTTCCCTGAGATTCAGTTTCCTGAATCTTTTAAATGAAAAGGTTTGACTATGGCCTCTGAGGTCCCTTCCACTTCTAAAGCGACGATCCCTTTCTCATCTTAAGTTACTGGGTATGACCTCTTCCGGGTGCCTCCCAAGCTGCTGCTCACTCCACCGGCCAAATGGACCTTGACTTGCCTACATCTCCCAGTTACTGATTGCTCAGTGAGGTCAGGGAGGAAGAGGCAGCCTGAGATGACTCCTGTGACTTGAGAGCCATTCATTCCAGCTGTCCCCAATACCCCAGGCCTCATGAATGAATCCCTGCTACCTATCAGACCAAACGGAAGGGGAAAAAAAAGATCTGGTTTCCCAGCTGGAGCAGCCGCAGGGGGACAGCTCCTACACCAGGAGAAGCTCTGCTTTAGCTGAAGAGAGGAAACCCCAAGGTTTCCCCACACCTCAGCCCCAGCCCTCAACTGCAAGGGAACAATTGACTCGGAGCAGAAACCTGGGGGCAGGAGAGAGGGAAGAAAAGCCTCCAGGTGAAACTACAACTTGGAACTTGAGGCCAGGAGTGTGAAAAGCCCTAGAATAAAATTGTTTCTGAAGAAACAGCAAGTGAGAGAGATCCAGGCCTGGGGCCCCCAGCTCTACGGACGTGCCTGACTCAAAGGAGAACTGGGGCCACCCTTCTGCAGTGAAACCTCCAGGAGAGGCTTTGGGGAGCCTGAAAACCACCCTTGGGTTTGAAGTCTCACGGGAAGAGTCAACCATGACCTATAGCCAGGTTTCTCAGGAGCTCTTTGCTCCAAGGGTAAGCATAAGTGCCAGTGTAAACAAGCCTCACTCAAAATCATTTCCCCTCCATCTCTCTGTTGTATTTGTTTCCTATAGAGCATTACTCTCTTTTTTTTTCTCCCTTTATCCTTGCAAAGAGAGATGGCCATATTGATAGATGCAATTACATCTAGATATAGATAGGTGTAATTATATCAATCTATTTATTATATATCAGATATTTGCAGTCTAAGAGTATGATTCTTTTAGGGTTAGGGTTAGATAAAATGGGGGGTTGAGGTAAAAGGCATTTAAAGAGGCATTTTTTATTTTAATCCGGTTGGAATTTAAAAAAATTCAAAATGGGAATGAGAAGGAGTTTGTCTCTACATATGCATGAAAACAGCACCAACTACAAGGATTTATCAAAAAGCCACACTGAAGTCCTGGGTCCTTCCCACATGCCTACAGCTCTGGGAATCTTCTCTTTGCCACTGAATAATTCTGGTATAATTCTGGCTCAATTAATACCTGTCTTGGGGAGTAGGGAATGAAGAAGTTATGATCACCCAGTTAAAGCCATCCTGCCTTCTACAGTGGTAGAATTCCAGTCTCCTTGAGACTTAGAATAGGGCATTACAGATCTTATTAAAAATCCCTGACTACAGTGCCTTTGTTACATAGGTCTCACATGTTACATAAGTGTAACCTTGTGAAATTAAACCTTGTGAAGTAAAAATCAATCTACATTCATTTATTATAGATCTTTTATGTGCCAGACACCTTAGGTGTTGAGAATTCAAAGACAAAAATGAAACTCTTTGTCCTTAAAGAACTTACGTTCTGTTGGGGAGAGATAACACACACATATTTAAGCCTTTGCAAATACACATACTGATGTATACACACACACACACACACACAAATATATAGGTATATCTACACATACATATATCTCTCCAAAATAAGCACAAAATAATTTGAGGATTTCTATGTTGATTTTACAGATAAGGAAACTGAAACTCAGAGAGAGTAAATCACTTGCCCCAGGTCACATGGCTGGTTTATGCATAGAGGCTAAGTGACTTCTTATCAATGACGTTTGAGGAGAAAGTCCTTACTCACTGTGGTTTGGAAATAACCTCTAAGGTCTCTTCCAATTCTGGGATATGATTGTGTCCATCAGACAAGAGCAACCAGAATAGGAAAGAGAAAGAAGATTGTGTCATTGGGGGTTGGGTGATTCAAGGAACTGGGATTGTTAACTGGAAGAAGGAAGACAATAAGAGCCATCTTCAAGTGCTAGAAGGACATTCTCTAGGAAGACAGATTAATTTCTTCTGTGTGGCCTCAAAAGGCAAAATGAAAAGCAATGGGAAGAAGTTGCATAGAGTCAGATTTTGGCTCTATATAAGGGGAATAGAGCTATTCAAAAATGGACTGGATCCCGCAGAAGATAGAGCTGACTTGACTTCACTTCACTAGAGGTCTTCAAACAAAGGCTGGATGACCACTCATAGAGGAGATACAGAAATACAAGGATGGGTGGTCCTACATGGCCCCTTCTGGCTCTGACATTTTGGGGTTCCACATTGACCCTGGAACCTCGGACACCTGACTTCAGTCCCCAGGGTCACAGGACTACTTAGCAACTGTAATCGATGGAAATCCTCCTTTGTAGGCTTTTAAAAGACAAGATCATTATTGGGAGACCCACAGCTTCAATCTCTGTAAGTTTCCATTTTACCATCTCTAAAACTACACTACCTCACAGGATTGTTGCAAAGAACATATTTTGTAAACTCTAAAGCACGAGATGAATACAAACCATTATAATAATGGGAGCCCGATTTTTAGGAGCATTTCTCCATGTCCTGTGGAGAGGGGGAAAAAAGAAAAGAAAAGTCAAGACATTCTTTGCTGCCCTCAAATAGTTTGAGAAAAGGTGCTTCTAAAATACCATTCAAGAGACCAAAGCTGACAAACACCAAGCGGCTGTTCTGACCAAAATTGGCCTCAGAGGAGACTTGGAGGCTCCTCCCTCCTTCCAAGAAAGAGGGAGGAGACAAAGGTTGCAAAATCTCACATACATTATCAGAGGCACATCACTGTGCCACTTGGTTCTGGCTGTTTTTCTTTGTAACAAGGGAGGGTCCATTTGGTGGCTGAAGTGGGACATATCTAGAAATTACTCCGATATAAAAACAAAACGTAGCCCCCGAAAAACTTATTTTTAAAAAAATTAAAATCAAAAAGTAAGTCAAGGGTATGCCCCTTTCTAGTGCTATACCTGGTGCAGCTACCCCTTTCACATGGGCCTAGTTGTCTCGTTGCCACCAGAAGAGTGCACTGAATATGATGTCTCTCAACCCACCCCTGTTCCTTTTTCTAGAGGCCTTAGGAAAGCCTTTTGTGTTTTCATCTGTTGCATAAATGACTGAAGCTAAAAATAAATAAATGAATGAATGAATAGATAGATAGATAAATAAATAAATAAATCACCCAGTGGCCACTATGGTGACAAATCTCTTTATACTTAGGCTGGATCTGGGACACAGGATACCTTTAGCCAGTTAATCTTGAAAGTTAGACTTCAAGAGCTGATTTTACAAGCCTTTATACACACAGTGGGAAGTTCTTAATTGTTCTTGATGATGCCTTTTATTTGGAGATATTTGTTTTTATATCCCATTGTTTCCCAGTATATTATCCCCCTACATACACTTTGGATCTTTCCTTGCAACAAGGGAAAAACACTTCAGTTTGAGGGACCAACCAAGCAACCACATCTGAAAACATAGGCCACCCTCTGCATAGGTACCAGATTCTCTACCAAGAGCAGGGATGTGTGCTTCATCCTCTGCTCTCTGGAACCAAGATCGTCCATTGAGATCAGAATATCTGAATTTAGCTGCCTTTCAGGGGTTCTCGTATCTATGTTACTGCTATTACTGGGTCCATTGGTTCCGCTTTCTTCACTCTGAATCACATCACATAAGTCTTCCCGGGTTTCTCTCTGAATTCATCATTTCTTTAGGCAGATGCAATCATTCTCTTTTGGACCAGATATTTGCATGAGGGCTAACACAAACACACTCTCTCTCCCTCTCTCTCTCTCTCTCTCTCTGCATCTCTGTCTCTCTCTGTCTCTCTCTCTGTCTCTCTCTGTCTCTCTCTCTCTCTGTCTCTCTCTGTCTCTCTCTCTCTCTCAGGGATGTTTCTAAGTACACAAACTGTACTGAAAGGAACTCCTGTCATTTGAAAGACTAACCTCAGTAACCAAGACTTAAGTCAAACAGGATGTCACAACATCTCAGCTGTAGGTTCCTTTGTATCTGGGGGCAGAATAAGGAGAAGGCTGGCAGGACCCCTTCCTTGGTATGAAGGGGAGAGAATCTAGACCTTTTCGGAGAGTGGAGGAGATTCTTCCACTGGGATAATCCTGCTGATTTTGGGATTAGTTATATTAGTTACGGCATTAGGCCATTGACTGGTTAGAATCAACACCAAATACAAAGAAAGGACACTTGGGTCTGGAAAATACTCAGGCTTCTTTGCAGATCTAGTCTTTTTCCACAGTCTCTGCACTAATGACACTCCTTTCTCCAGCCTAGAACCCTCTGCTTTCTTTGGACTATGGGGCACTAGAAACTTCTATCTCCTAGGCACTCACTGAGTGACATGTAGCATTACACTCTCCCAGTGCCTGGCACAGAGGAAATACTTAATAAACACTTGCTGATTGATTGACATCAGAAATGAGAAACCAGTCAGCTGTGGCTGAGAGAGAGAAACCCTATTCCTCTCTATAAAACACCTGGTGCTCTCCAGGATACTTGAGCTGCTCCAGTGTGGGCAGTGGTGATGGGAGGAGAGGAGGCTAGGGCTTGGTGAGATGATGGACAATTCTGAGGGCAACCTCTCCGAGTAGCATCCTCAACTCCTTCTTCCTGCCCTGGTGCTCAAGGCCTCCCTCTGGATTCCTACCACAACCTTACCCACAGGCATTTGTGACAGGACCCTGTGTGCCCCCCTCCCCAGATTCTGGTTGTGACCTTCGCCCTGTGTTCCTCATACCCTAAGGTATCTCCACATAACCTGTGAGATCTTCCTTTGGGGTGCTGGGTTTGTCAGAAGGAGGTTGGAGGGAGACAGAGCCTCCAGGTCCTTTTATCTCC